GTCGAGTGCGCTCGTGCATCTCAAGTAAATCTGTGTAACCATCTCGCTACGAATGTCGTGCACTTTCCGCCTGGGAGAACGTCAGGAGCATGCCGGCGGTGATTTTTAATCAAAACCCAAGTACTCGTTAGATTACGTGATCAACACTGGTACACTACTATAATTGCGGAAAGTTCGTTGGAAGAAGCGTGTACGAGCTCCGTGATTATCCAGGAAACCGGAGTGAGAGCATCGTTGAGTATTTTTCACTGTCAACCGGTAACGTAAATGCTTCATCACGTGTTCCACGTAATTTCCTTATTTCCGTAGAAGCGGAATTTTCAGACCGTTTAAATGTGTTACCGTTTTTAACCTCCCCTCTGACAAAGTCGCGCGTTATATATTATTTTGAAATTATCGTGAACGTATCTTATTTTTTCTTTTATATATTAAATTATTCGTATTTCTTCTTTTTCGCGCGATCACCAAGAATATAAAAAAATATTATCAATGATGAAAGAAAAATTAACCTGTTCTTATTTATTACTGTCTCTTTAGTACTCTCTTTTTCTCTCGTTATAATCTCCCTCTTTCCCTTAATTTTACGATTTCCTGATGAAACAAATTCTTTGAATTGAATTTCGTGAAATTTATTTTGAAAGTTACGCGCTTTGTGCCTCTAAAGAATCTAAAGTAGAAAAGCGAACCGACAATGAGTGTTACTTCATTCTAGAACGAAAATAAGCACTGTATTCTCAGAGTCGTACAATCGTTCTCGACAAAGCGGCCCTCTACGAACATCTGGCAAGCGTGTCGTATTTGCATAGAAAATTTCTCATTTCTCGACATGTTAAGTACGAATGTAGTAGAGTTCATTGCCAGCGTCGACGGTATCTCTGTTCCCGCTGGAAAATATCACGAGCCGGACTATTATTTCCAGTTTTTAAGGATGTCTCACCTCTGACGTCCTAATTTCTCGAATTTCAGCAATTGCAATTGAATAGACGAGGCTCGAACGAGAGACGTTTTCAATTTTCTCTCGAGTTATTCGATAATATCCTCGATTATTTCTCGTATTACAGAAATTTATGTTTCGGCTGTCTCGCTCTTTCTCTCAGCAATTAAATGACTACAACTCAAATAAGACATTTTCAATTTTCTCTCAGATTATTCGATGCCTTTTCCAATAAATTTCGCATTTTCACTTTACCGATGTATATAATATCCAAGAGGCGGAAAATGTCGAAGCGTAAATATAGATAATGGAATGTTAGTCATTAACACCGTCACGACTGTAGAGGTGTGTACGTCGCGCGGCGGAGGTGAACGAGCGAGAATTCAGCGTGTCTTGCGTTTCTCGCCTTTCCGCGCCTTACCTCGCAGGTGTACCTTCATTCCGCGTTGACTTCTCCAGAAAGCAGCGAGAAGCAAACACTCGACAAACAGAATGAGAACTTGGTCGTGTGACATGTGAGATAGCTGCCCTCTGGTATTTTCTTAATACATTATATGTGGGTAAACAGAGACGATATTTTTCGTCTCGAAACTCGATATACCCACCCTCTTCGGGAGGACATAAATAAAATGGAAGTTCGAGTCTCCCAGCGTTGAACCCTGAGACTAGATAACATCCGTTAAATTTATGATGGGCTTTTAACTCGTTGCAGCGCAGATACTGTAAAAATTGATTGCTAATATTACATGCATATGGTATTTATGGCAAAAAGACACGAGAGAAAATTCTTCCATTTTTTTTAACTATATACAAACTGATCGGTTTCGCATACAAAGTGATCTGAAGAATGTCCCCGAATAGAATGTATATATAGTGTTCAATATTTTACCGTAGCACTTTAAACAAGTGAGGAAGTAAGCGAAGGGTAATTTGTAGAATTTTTCATTGCCTCAGGAGAATTACGAGGCCGTCGAGAATACTGAATGTTTTCCTTCTCAGAAAATGTCGACCGTGCTCTCGGACGAATTGAAGAAAGCACGAGAGATTGTCGTATCTCATTAATTCGATTATATTTTTTTTTCAGCTTCGCTCGTGGAATGACGAACATCGCGGTCGAACGCAACCGTGCATGTGGAACTCGCGTTAGCTTTAGATTTAATGAGCACGGTAGCGAAAAGCGGATTCAGCTTCAACCCGTTTCTACATTTAATTCGAGCGGACAAAGAAATCTCGCGTGCTCGGTCGCGATACAGTAAGCACTCTCCCACAAGGGAGCAATTTGGCTGAGAACGTAAGCTGAAAATCGACCTGTATATCTATATACGAGCGACTTAGAACGATCGTATCCTATGTGGCGTATCTCGAAAGGATTTTCGAGTTTGGCGGGGCCAGCGCGTACATAGGAAATTGAGCAGAAAAACTTTTGATTGGATTATTCGTTTATATTGCGCGATGCTTAATAAAGTCAATAAAACAACATCTCCGGCAGGCGACGCGCTAATGGAACGTACGGGTAACGAAAAGGTAAAACAGTTTTCTCGCCTTGGCAGAGAGCCGACGTAATATTGCGAGTTTTCGCGCAAGGGGAAGGAAGAACTTGCGGATCAAGTTAAGTGGGTCAGCCATTGTAAAGTAGGTGAACGGACGTGAAATAAGTAACCGTCTCTCCCTTCAGATACTGTCTCAGATTTCGCGGAAGGTATCTGATATATCGAATATATCTTTTGATGGGATCCAATCGAAAGTTCTTGGCTCGAGTGCCCCTGTAGAGCGCCCCGTTCGAAACTTTGATCAAACGTTTTGGGAAAGGCACCTTGCTACGGACTAACGTCACAGATCGGAACACTTGCCAGAATTAACGTGACGCCAACGGAGGACGTACTCGATGGAAGTCGAGTGTGGCTTTCCGGCGATAACCCTTCTCCTGCGAATTTCTCATGTGTCCTTTTCAAATGAATCATTTGATCTTGATAATCATTTCAAAGGAAACTGAAGAAACGTTGGAAAAAATGGCGTGTATACGAAGCGGGAGATATGCGAGTGTATTTTGTTTGTATATTTTTGCATGTAACTAGCGGATTGAAAATTGAAGATGAATCCTGTTATATGTCCTTCATTTTAACGCAATCAATGTAAATTAAAATTAAATATGGATCAGTCTCTCTCTCTCTCTCTCTTTCTCTTTAATTTCTTATAAAAAAAATTGCAGATTGTATTATTATTCGATGAGTCTTTAAATTAGTTATCAGTGGACAGAGAAATAATAGAATAACTACAGAACAAAACGGGCAGAATAAATATCTTCACCATGCGCACCGAACTTACCAAGGGAGGAAGAGAGAGAGAGAAGGCTGTGAAGGGTGTTCTCTGTTGCAATATTAAAGTGGAATTAAAATTTCCGCCGAGCGCAGAATAATTGGGAAAGGCGACGCAACTAATTTCCAAGTCGAAGTTTTGCGCCCGACAGGGACTCGCGCCTCGCTGCTCCCGCCCGTCCGCTCCCGCGTGCCCGTTTTCCCCCTTCCTCTTCTTCCTGGGCGTCTCTTTTTCGCCGTGACTTCTCAACACGCGTGGAACGTCGCGCGAACGAGGCTTACACTCAGTAAGTTTTGTCTTTATTTATTCAGCGCGAAACCGGGGCTTTACTTCCCCGAACTCCGCGTGGCCAGCTTCCCGTTTTCCCAGACTCCCGCTCGCACCCCTTCCGTCCTTCGTTCCCTCGAACGGCCGGCGATTCGCTGCCGCAGTCGCGTTTCCGCAATCCCGTAGCGGTAAATCGCACTCGGCAGACTGCCGGGCGTTACCGAATTCAGCGCGTCACAGCAATTAATGCAGCGATAGCAGCGCCGGACCGCTGTCGTTGACAAAACGGCAAAATTCTTGTTTTTTTTTTCATGGTTGAAAGAGGGGGAGAGGGTACAAATTAATTTAACGTCGCGTCGCATCGGCCGGCAGGTTTTCAGCCGGCAACTCGTTTTTCACGATGTGATATGGAGATGGGCAGACGGAAAGGAAAGGATGAAGGATTGCCTGTGATTGTGCGCCTGTGTGAGAGAACATGGGATTGACTTGGTGAAAGAGAGAGAGAGAGAGAGAGAGAGAGAGAGGCAGGAAGAGAGAGGGAGAGAGAGAGAAGCATGAGTGATGAAACCTGTTCACGTACTCAACGTTATACGTTACAGACCATAACTGTATTACGTCGCTTTCGTGCGAGATCGTTCCCCGTGATGAGAGCAAAGCTTTTTTTTTGCGAGACCGCCGTTGGCTATAGGCATCCCGAACGTGTTATCGATCACTGTTCAAGACTAACTAACGTACGACCTGAGAATTACAAGTCACGTTGCATTGGGAATTAGTCATTGTTAAGAGAAATACGCGACTGCATATACGGTTTCACGGATTCACAGCTTAAATCCGAAGCATTAAAAGCCCATTTTCTATTTCAACTTGGAATGAAGATTCGAAAGTTCGTGTAGAACGTGGGTTTTTTTTTCCGAGAAAGACTGCTCTGATTTTAAATAAACTTCAATATAGGATTTGTATTCGGAGTTTTTCGCCCTTTCTTTCTGCTTTTTCCTCTTCTTCGCGCTAGGAAGCAGAACTGAGAGTTGACTTTCTTAATATTTTTAAACTTATGTTAGATTTAAATAGATTATTTATCCGCAATATCCTTCGGGCGGAACACCCCCCCCCCCC